TTATATTTGTAGACATGATCTTCGAATCTATCAATATTTCTGTAGTAACGTTGCCTTGCTGTCATTCAAACGAGGCACTAGAAAAGATATTTTAATTAACACGGCAATTATTGTTCGTAGCTAGGCACGGTAACAAGCGTAAAATTAATATTCGCTATCTCAGCATTATCATAATTCTGATTTGAATAATACCTCAAATCTTACTGATCTTGCTTTCAAGATTTTTAATACGTATCCATATAATTTTAAGACCATGAACCGATAATGTTAATTCTTCCTGTTACATTATATCAAAATCCAAGGAATTTTATAATGATGTATTCGCTGTAAGAGCAGTTTCCATTACCATAGTATTGATCTAAGCATACTGATGATTATATGTGTAACTGCTACAAACGGGAAATCTTTTACCTTGTAAATTATCTCTTCTCTTATATCAATATTATATCGCAACTGTTCTATCTACGCTATCAGTAACTACAACGCTAGGTGCTCAAGTAACTGTACTATGCTCAGTAGATAATATTCTCTAATCGTTTGCCGTATCAATATTGTAGTGTATTCAGATTATGATGTAACATGTTTTTCAATATAGGCATTTCATATTGTTCTTAAATATAGATACTGTCTTCTTACACTATATAGGAATATAGCTCGTTATGCTTAATTTTTATAACACTTACAGTCTTCGTCATTTTCTACAGTCATTGCTATAACATAGTTCATTACAGTATATGATGTATCTAATTCTATAATCTTATACTCTGCATCTGTTCTATCCCTATAACTATAATACTAACGATTTCTGCCTCAGATTTAGTTAGTTGCAATCGTCTCACTGTTGGTATTTCCCACGCTACTCCACGACAGCTTACACGCTGCTTTACAGCAAATGCACGCATTGTACGCAAACACAATCTATATAAACTGTCTATTTTTCTATTAAAATCTTTGTGCAATTCTCTTCATTGCAACTAAGTTCACAACCGCTGACTAATAGAACTCCCCATCGCAAATTCTGCAAGAAGTAGTAATAGAAGATGCGGCCGCGCACAAAGCGATTTTTTGCCAGAAAATACTTATTTTATTTTCGTCAGATAATATACCTTATCTAGACGTTATGCATACTTTTAGTAGATGAAATAGGCTTGTAATATTATCATCTTTTATTCCATTATAATCCTAAAATAATTTAACTTTGGAGATAAAAAATGATATAGCATAAATTTATTGATCATTAAATCCTGCATAATATTTTTAACCTCGCTTTCTAGTTAAATAATTTAAGATATTAAAGTGAGTAAGTTTCGTAACCCCTTATACACATAGTAAAAATGGTGCAAGTAGGCGATTTTCTTGTACCAGTCATCATCTATCAATAGTTTATTGAATATAGCGATTATTACACGTCACAAATAGCTTTGCTTCATTTTACTACTACCCATTTAGCACACATTACTATTCAATTAGCTGGAATCAGCTATTAAATCATCATGTGTCAATTCTTTTGCATCTCTGACGTAGTATAATATTCGTGCACATGATATACGGTCGCTAATTACTTTTAAAATTGGTAACTAATCGCGTTTATTGCGAACAATAAATCTTTGAAAGTGCGGAATGATATTAGATGGACCTAGAATAATCAGTTAGATCAGAATTCGAGGGATACCTTAGATAGTTTTTTTTGGCTCTATCTAGAGTGGAAAGAGTTAGTCATGAATTATCATCTTGAATAGTTCGTTTACTTTACTACTAGGAAATTAAACAATGAAGACCTGATTATCTATATTATCCAGATGTAAAAAAATATTTGATTAGTGAGATGAACAATTAATCGTTATCGAATAGATTTATTGTTAATGCAGGTGTAATTAACATCGGTAGCGATGACGTATCGTTATGAGATACGTAAACGTTGCATCTCAATGTGCGTATAACATGGTAATGTATAAAAGTTGATATCCAGCCGCTATAGTATTAATATTAGTATTAGTGTAGCCCATAGCAACCTAATATCCATACAGGATTTGTGCATTATGTAATTAATAAGATATTCTGGTCTAGTGTTTGAAGATAGCTGCAAGAGACAAGCATGTATCAGGCCATCCCAATGGGCAGTGGATTTAAAGAAAGACAAAAGCTTAAAATTTCATCAATTCAAGGTGTGGCTGTAACTATTTACCCATATTGAATAGCTTCGACGTTCATATTGTTAAATCTATTTCGAAGAATCTTCGGAATGAACTAAAAGAACTAAAATGGCGGTCAACCAGCAAATTTTCTTGATTTTGATAATCGCCGTAAGTCGAGTATCTTGTCGTTTGGCAAGATGCATTGGATAAATATGTAATGTGTTCGTGTTGTATTATTTTATACACAGTTGTTCAAGTCGAAAACGATATAATTGTAGATTGTTTTGAAATTTATGGCAGACTAAAGCTGACGATCTTGCATGTAAAATTTTACTTGAATATAATATTCAATGAGCACCGATGATGATTATTGCTGCAAATCTATTTCCATATAGTAGCTTTAAGTGCTTTTTATTTGTTAAGAGAATTCGTATTATAAATACTGCAAGAGGCAGACCGTAGGAACGTACCCGTTACGTGCAATTGATTAAAGCAGTAGAGTGAACGGGTTATTTCTACATACGAGTATATATATATAGCAAATACTAATTTTTTGATGGTTTGGACATTAATCACTTAAGATTACCACGCTATGATTGAATCTGTATTAACCTTGACACTGGTAATCCCTTTTCTATTCGGCTAAGTCTAAATTGAGAGGGAATCGTTCGATAAGTCTGATTGAAAGTTTTCTAAAATAGCTCTCGAAATTCTTAACCATTAATAATGGTTAGAATTTCTATAGGTTTACTTACTGTACGTATTAAACAGCACATTTATAACAAAAAATCACTATGGTATCTGACAAATGCTCTTCCGTAGAAAGTTATCGATCGATTCTAATTCCAAATTGTGTACGTTATTTAGTTATATCATACAATAGCGTATTTTACAGTCAATCTTTTATACTTATTTCATGCATATAATACTCATACCTATTACTCAGATAGTAAAACTGTTACAGATCTTATCTTTCCGAAATTTAGGCGTTACTTTGAGATATTTAAGAGCATTAAAAGTTAAATTCACTTCTTTTTTACCTGGCTCATACAGATATCAGTTCTAGGATTATCTTCACTTGCCTCAGGTAAGGTTCATAAAGATTTCCCTTCAATGAGTATTTCTGTTTTATTGCTGGCATAGTAGAATACGCTACACTGTAAACTTTTTGGCTTTATTGACGTTTATCTAAATATAATGTTACGTCATAGCGATGATACTAGTATATTATACCTTATATTAAGCGCTGTGTGATGCAGCTTTAAATTAAGATGCTGTATCTTCGTAAAGTGCGGCGTATAGAGAAATGGAAAGTAGTAATATAGCTTTAGCCACTATTTCAAAGTAACTATGATTTTCGTTTCATTTCTTGTCAGGGGCAAATAATACTTGTAATTCGAATCCTTGTTCAAGTAATGCTACCTGTATTGGTAATGGATTTCATTATGAATGCTCTTGTCCAGTGGGATTCGGTGGAAGCAATTGCAACATAGGTGAAAGATACCTACCATAATAGTTTTAAGTAATTTGATGGTAATGATATCATTTAGTTTATCTAAAATCAGACTGATACTCTATTTTAATTCGCATAAAAATCGTAGAGTAAACGTTATTATATTTTTAAAGATTGACACGATCATTTATCTATTGTACATAGTTATCGCAGTTAACGCTGTAGATATTATAATAGTTTTGGAAAGAATAAAAGTTTAACTCTTAGTTCGCTATATTGTTTTAGATATTAATTCAACTTTACCAATTCGTTTGGTTAACGGTCAGTCGTATTCTGGTCGCGTAGAAGTTTATCGCAATTACAGTTGGATTAATATTTGTCACAACAATTTTAATTGGAATGCTGCAAGAGTTGTTTGTCGTTCACTCGGTTTTACCAACGTTAGCACCTACTATTGCTGTAGCGGTTCTTTCGGCACTCCTCAACCGGCACCATCTTATATGAGCAATATCAACTGCACTGGTAATGAGATTTCCCTAAGCCAGTGCTCATACACCATAGCAAATGACAGCAGTTGTAATCGGTACTCAACTATTGGTATTGCTTGTACTGGTAAGATGCCTAGATATAATAACAATGATTTTCCTATTTAGTTAGCTTACGTGCTCATACGGTGGAGCAGAGAGTAAAGGATTCCGTTTATTAGACGCAACTACAATATTTATATTAAAAGTTTATGTAACTTAATATTTATTATCCGAATTATAATATCTAGTGGGGGCCTGTGGCTCGTTTCCTTGCGCCAATTTCGGAACTTGTTCAAGTACTGCTAATAATGGATATAACTGTACTTGCAGCAGTGGTTGGACTGGACAACAATGCGAAAGCGGTAATTTGGATCTGGTTGTCCATAATTATAAAGCTAACTTAAAACTTTAATTACTAACGTCTTAAGCATAGCGAGCTCATTATCGTTCGTTAAATTATCGGCTTTAAATTTAAAGCTATCATAGTATGGATGGATTTTTACAATGTGAAATTACTTTGTCATGTTTACTTATATAACGTTAGCATAAATTTATGTAAAAGGTTTATTGATTATATTAATTGTTAACTTTACTTCGGTTTGATTCTTCTACAACTTATATATATATTTGACAATTAGGAATAAATGAATGTGCATCGAATCCATGTTCTGCAAATGCAACTTGCGTAGATCAACACTTGGGTTACAGTTGTCGATGTCCTCAAGGCTATTACGGCAACAATTGCTTAAATGGTTTGTCTCAATAGCTTGGAAGTTTACAATATTGCATCTACGAATAAATGGTTGCTTATATAGTTTAAATTTAATCGCACAGATTTAATAAATATATCAATGATATCGAATAGGTCCAGTATCTGATGGTGCCATTCGACTGGTTAATGGACCTAATGTAGCTGATGGACATGTGCAAGTTTATCATGATGGCCGCTGGGGCTTCATATGCCACTATGGATGGGATATACAGGATGCTAGAGTGGTGTGTACACAATTAGGATATAATAACGCATCATCCGCTGGCTGTTGTAGTCAGTATGGTTATAGTTTTGGTACATATTGGATAAATAATCTAAATTGTACCGGAAGCGAGAACTCTATTTATAACTGCTCTGACTTTAGTTGGAGTAATGGTACTACTACATGTTCGCGATATGATAAAGCATCAGTTAAATGTACAGGTTCGTACAGTATGAAATTGAGTAATTATAACGTAATTTATGCCATAATAAATAAACCAATAAACTGATTTAGATAATTAGTTTCGTATTGTTGAATTAATACTGGAGTATTGATAAGATTTTCTTATGTTTTAGTTGGCGGTTGTTCATCATTTCCATGTGCTCATGGAACGTGTAATAGTAATGATACTATGGGAAGCTCATATAGCTGCAGTTGTCACTATGGCTGGATGGGCCAGCAATGTGATATAAGTATGTATATTCAAAAGTATAGATTATAAAATTGATTTGAATAATATAATATTGCTTCTTGGAAGCAATATCAGTGTATTCTAAGCTAAAGGGGTGTGAACCGATAGACTATAAATCAAAGTGTATTCAGTAACTTATATGACTTACAAGTTGTTATACTCTGAATTCGCAAACAGGTGTTAATGAGTGTGCTTCAAATCCTTGCGTAGCCAATGCTACATGTCTTGACCGACATGTATCTTACGCCTGTTTATGTCCTGAAGGCTGGTACGGCAGTAATTGTGATCAGGGTAAGAAAAGATATTTGAAGTGTTTTCAAAAGACCATAGGGCTTCGAGCTAAATTCATTACCTTGAGCAAACTATGGATACTTTTGGACACTAATTTATTATAACAGTAAAAGGTTACTTCTAAGTTCTAACTATGAGTAGGCGGCTCACCAGCTACCGTACATGAGAGCAAATGCTCTTAAAATTCTAAAATGAAATATTAATTTGATTTATGTATGTAGCTAATCTATCTAATCTGATAGAAATCTAATTCTCGTAGAAAACTGAACGTATCAAGATATTATTTTATTACCTCACCGTATATTGGAATAGTAGAATTTATAAAGCAGTTATTACAAGAATCTAGAAATAAATTATCTGGAGCTCAAACGAATCAAGAGCTTCTACTTGCCATTTTCAAATACATTCAGCTCGATCTATTTACTGCAATAAAGCTCTAATGAAGCCTAATAATAACACCTCACACATCAATAGAATGTCATTATAATAAAACTATAATTCAGTATCTCCGTCAGCGAAGCGATAGGGGCATTAAGTTAGTTTTTTTCTATAACGGAGGATCAACAATTCCTACCGTACAAATCTATTTTCACAACATCTGATTTCTCTTCAACAAATGTTGGGATACTGCAAGGTGTTGGACATCTTCGTATCTCAGTACATCAATGTCTTAGACCATTTACCATACTTAGATAATCGACTATATTAGTAAGTACACTGTATAAGTGAATAACATTGGCAGTCAATATTTTGTAATATTAGCTAAAATGATAATAGGTAATATTAATAACTCAAATACTGTATATCAAATATATCGATCAAAATATTCATGTACTGGTGCATTACTGCAATAGCACAAACACATGATAATTAAATTAAAAATTCTCACTTCATGACCATAGGACCGGTTACAGATGGTACTCTTAGATTGGTTGCTCAGTATAATTCGGCCGGACCGAACGAAGGCAATGTTGAAATCTATCACAACGGAACTTGGGGTGCAATATGTCATAATTCCTTCAATATCAAGGATGCTCAAGTTGTATGCCGCCAGCTTGGCTATACTAATGCTTCGTATACGTCCTGCTGCTCGAATTATGGGAACAGCAATTATAAGTTGACATGGTTAAGTTATTTAAATTGCAGTGGTAATGAAAGTAGAGTTTTAGATTGCCCTCGTGGTTCCAGATGGGGAGATTTCTCCAATGGATGTGGTAGATACAGTATAGCTGGTGTTAGTTGTACAGGTTTGAGCAATAAGATTACCTATCTAATTTTTATCTTTGCTGCGGCATTTGTTACTATTTGATACGTTATTATTACTAAATTTAACCTTTTTGGTATAAATGTTGTGATGATGGCAAATTTACATTAGTTACTTATTGTGAGATAATGCAATAAATTGTAGCAAGCTTAATAAAAGTTTTTATAACAGTTATTAAATTTTTCGTGCAGCAATAGTGCAAGTATGTAGTTCATTGCATCAAAAATTATAGTATTAAACTGATAAATTTTGTTTTTCTTGTGTAACTACATCAGTACGTTATGCTCGTGCTGTCATTTATTTCGGTATAATAATCGTAGTACTTATCATAACGACTAGTTTTTCCACGTGCCATAATATTGCAATTTTCTGTTTACTATTAATTTGAAACAGATTTTAACCAATGTGCCTCCAATCCATGTGTTAATGGAACGTGTTACGATCAAGTTGGTGCATTTAACTGTTCTTGTTTCCCAGGTTACGTAGGAACAAAGTGTAATATCCGTAAGTACTCAATGCTTTCAATGGAAACGCTAACAAACAATATCAGATTGTAAATGTGTACAACTATTTTTCGTATTAGTATTTTAAGCAAAATCATGGTAGTTGCTCCTGAAATTTGTATTCGAAAGATGATAGCATAAATATTGATCTAATAAATGCTTAAGGAGTAATTTTTAGCTGATTTATTTGTAACTAAAATTAGGAAGCGATTGTTATTCAAATCCATGCTTAAACGGTGGTACCTGCATGGTAGGCTCTTCAGGAATCGGTTATAACTGCTCTTGTATAAATGGATACACTGGGAATGAATGTCAATCAGGTAGACGACGTACAGCAGAATAATAATATTAATGTACAAATAGTGGATTAATATCGTCTATTATAGAATATAGACAATATTTTTACTATATAATACAACACATATGCGTAACTGTATGATTACTTCATACTGAAATTACAATACGAGATCGTCAGTTTCTTACTTCAACATCGTATTATTCTATGCTTTATATAAACTATTATTCTGACGATTTTCCTTGAAAAATCTGCAATAATGTTAATTATAGATAATTATAGCAGTTGTATTGATTACATTATTATAAAAGATATTTTATGTGTAATTAACACTTTAGTGTTATGCCATTTTAATAGAATATTAATATTGTAATACCATGCATCATGAAATAAGTATTTCAATATTTAATTAATATAGATATTGACGAATGTAGTTCTTCGCCTTGCGCAAGTAATGCTACTTGTAGTAACCTTATTGGAAGATACGAATGTAACTGTGCACCAGGCTACGTAGGACCATTCTGTTATGAAAGTACGTAAGATAATATATAGCATATATACTCGTAGCTTATTGTACGATATATAATATAATATTCTTCACGATTGCTGTTATGTATGTGATACAGTCCGAGGCTGTTTTAAAATACGCGTCATTGGCTATGCATGTTCGTATAGTATTATCTTATTTTCTGATTTAACGTTTTCATACGTAGGTTCCAATAGTCAGTTACCAATTCGACTAGTAAATGGTCCTACTCCGAATAAGGGAAGAGTAGAAGTTTATCACAATAATATATGGGGCTCTATTTGCTATTACGGATTTAACATGAAGGAAGCCAGAGTCGCTTGTCGTCAATTAGGTTACACAAATGCGTCAGGCTATTCTTGCTGCGGTACTTAT